GGAAACAAGAGGTGTGTGACGTCATAGAGTAAAAAGGCCGTATAACTTGGATACGGGGCGTTGAATGGAAAAAATACACCCCTGGTGTCCGTTCTGCTTTGAATGCAAAATGTCCGAAGTCCGTATGTCGAAAAACAAAAAAGTTTGTAAAAAATTGCAACAGCAGTCGAACGTATCATCTTATCTCTGTAGAACATCCTGAAACATATACAGGCCATTCATTCCGAAGAACATCGGCAACGTTACTCGCTAATACAGGAGTTGACTAGAGCATCCTGAAACATATACAGGCCATTCATTCCGAAGAACATCGGCAACGTTACTGGCTAATACAGGAGTTGATGTATTAGCAATCAAGATACATGGTGGATGGAAATCAGCGACAATTGCAGAAAGTTTAAGTAACAAAAATTAAATAGCCAACAGGATTCTTTACAATGACACTTCAATTCTAGGTTCTAGTAGTACGCCGCATCATGCTGTTTTAATGGATCAGTCAGATAATACAATTTTTGACAAGAATTATAGACAAACCATAACCCGTTATTAAAAAATTACCAGCGAAACTGTGTGTGCAGTTCTTTGCCCCTTGCACCATTAAATTCCGCTCCTAGCCTCACATTTAAATACAAAAATGGTTCTAAATTGACCCACATTCCGTGATCAAAGCGGTGCGGTTTCAACATTTCGCTTCTTTATATTTACGAGTACTTTGACGGCATTACAGCTCTCTCCCTTCGGCTCGCCCCTTTTTTGATATAAAATATAAAATGATAAACAAATTTTAATGAACGTTTCGCGTGCAACTCGCGCTGTCAGGAACACAACTATGGCTCCTATCAATTTACACAGTAACCCGATTAATTAATTATTACAATAACAAGCTATAACATTAATGGATATGACAATGTATGATAATACAAGTTATTAGTCTCAATTACGGGTCGGATAATTATAATTTATATTATTAAATGACGATATTGTAATGGAAACAATGCCGGGTAATTGGTGTGCGTTGGAAATGTTTGTAATAATATCTAAAAGGCTGGATTTTGTGCCAATAGTGCACAACAAACATAATAAAATAGTAACTGATATCATATATACATTATTTAAAAAGACAAAAATTAAAGTAAATCCCAAATAGGCAACATAATTTTGGAGTACCTCAAGGTTCAGCTTGGAAACCACTACTCTTCTCGACACTTATAAATAACCCAAACTTGATTAAACAGTTAACTAAATTGGATCACCCTGCTGTACACTGAATTCAGAAGCTAGTATACAGGGTGTGGCGTGTATAATCTATAAAAATTAAATTACAGCTTCCTGATAATCGGCTGTAGTTTAATTTTTATAGATTATACACGCCACACCCTGTATAAACAAGGGCGTGGGTGATCATTGAGAGCGAAATGATTAACAAACGCTTTCCCCTCAGTAACAATGCAGGGTGACTGTCCTTTACATACATCGAGATGCACGTAGCCTTCCCAAGCCGTTCTTTCGAGTCCCACTGGAAAAAACTTAACCCGGGGATCGGATTACATAAATTTCGGAAAGAAATTACGGCCTCGGTCCATTGCGAAATGTATTCAATCCGGAGAAATGTAGCCGACGTCGGAACTGATATGTCAATGGGGCACCGTCGACGCGGTAGTATATTTTATCTGATGGAGACCATTATTCCTACTCATTTGATCTAGATATCCCGCCAATTCGGAAATGTGCTCTAAAATGAGTTGTTTCTCTCCACCGACCAATCTACCTCTCGGTATCATTGATTACCACCTAGAATTATTGCTTTAAAACGCGTACATTGTTACCAACGGTGGTCATAATAACGAAGTCGTATATCAAGAAATTCAAAAAAGATTCTTCCAAATCTCATGCATATATTTAATTTTATCTGTATCAGTTTGTTCTTTATTTATTACTTCTTGATCCTAAATCCTTAACAAGGCAACCACATGGTTTATAGATGTACTGATGCAGTCTCGCTGTCGGGTCATGTGACTTCCGCTCAAGCACGTGATCTGCTACTTTATGTGTACGCAGTTCTCGCAAGAGCAAGAAGCCGATGCTCCTTATATGTATCTTCATTTAAAGTGTCCTTATTACTTTATGAAAGTCCTGCTTCAGTTATGATCAGAAACATGTACACTAATGCAAACAATTAAAGGGTTAAAAATATATGCAAAATAAGAATAATTCAAACAATTTGCTTAAAATGGGGGCAATGCGTTTTATTAGTGAAAGAGGATACCTTTATATTCCAGTTCCGTACAGAAAATAAATAAAGGCCATCAACAAACGACTCTTGGAGTTTTAACAACGGACCCGAAATGCCCCGGGATCACATTATGATAAAGATCTGGAAGATCCTTTGCTGCATCGCAGAAAAAGCCTATAAAAGGAACATAATCCTGGATTTTTTCTGAATTATCGACATGACCTGGGTGAGGACTCTTCAGGGCTAATGGTTGGGGACCGTTTGATCCTCTTCCGTAAGGAAAACTGCTTTTTACATGCATTTAATTGCTTTAAGTGTTACAAAATGTATAACCCTGACTAAATTTTAATAATCAACATCGACAGCCTCTAGACTTTTAATAAAACATTGAATTATTTATAAACGCGGCACTGTAAGTTAATATTTGCATTTACCTTCCCGTTATTTGTGTTTACCCCGATAGCGGCCTTGTTCGAAATATTCCCCAACAATTTCAGTTTTTTTTTCAGCGAAACATTAATTTAGTATTTATGAATGAAAAAGAAGTAAATGAAGGCGAAACGGGAAAGCCTCCCAGATGATAATAAACGCTGATTTCAGCAGGTCTTTATCAAATATTTGTTGAGCAACTTTTAATTCCGAATAAATTATTAAGGGATAAATTCGAGATCTCAGTAGGCCGCTGCGGTGTTGAGATGATTAATCGGTCTCATTTCGGTTTGATATCGACATGGCGTGAACCTCTTTTGTATTCTTTATTTAACAAAGTGCGATAATTTTTCATTAAACAGGACTGTTGAAAGGGAGCCGTTTGCGACGATTGTCTCTGTCAAAAATATAGACATTTTTTCTTCGGATGAAAAAACTTGCAAACTGTGCAAATGCGAGAACGAGTTTTTTTTAAGTCGATTCAGTTCCCTAAAATTTATTAAAAACTACTATATTCCTTTCAAGTCAATAAAAAAATTGTGAAGGAAGCGGCGGTATACCATTATTTTTATGCATATCCCCTTTATTACTACTAATATTATCAGTCTGGGGTAACACTGCACGCAATTTTCTCGCTTTTCATAAATCAAGCTTTGATGGTACTTTAATACGAGATGAAGACGGCTTCGATCTGACGAAAATTGAGGAAAGAAGATTATGAATCGCCTCATAGGCTCTTATTTTAGGAAACCAATTACGCGGAATTACGCTTAAGAATTAATTGGGAGGCGGGATATTTGCCTGCTCAAATTTCGTAATTTTCCAAATAGAAATGATTTATTTCATATGAGGTGGAATTATGTCTATCAATATTTTCCTCTTCCTGTTTATTTATCGGGAAATAAGATACCATTCAAAAGAAAATTCTGCTCAACGATGCGATGCTCCTGTGGCATTTCGCAGGCATTCGCCGTAGATTAAATTATCAACAGTTTAATTGTCATTACATATGTACCATTTGTAATCTTTACCTCTTACTTGATTTAGAGTTTGTCTGATCGCAACAACAAGCTAGATTTCAGACACCATTGACAAAAGATATAAATAACGAAACACTATTTTATAATGAAGCAAAATAACACTGTTATGTCGAGGGAGAGGTGTAAAACATTAAAAACCTTAAATTATATCTTCATTTCATTAAATTTCATGTAGAACTAAGGTCTGGTGAAGCAGCTGGTCATTAAAGCACACCAAATTAGAATAAAAATTAAAGATTAAGTAAACCTTTCAAGTCTAGACATATTTTTCTGCTCGTGGCCTAGTTTAATGGACATATTTCCGCCACGAGTCTTAAAGTATACGACGAAAGTCTTCTTGGGGGAGAAATACTTATTGGCACTCGACTAGAAACTTGCATCTGTTAATTGCCTCACTAAAACGCTCCGAATTCGTTTAGAGGCCAAAGACCCTGGACCGGCTCAACGCAAGAAGCATAACGAATGCTCCCGTGCACTCCAGTAAGTTTATTATCCCTTATTAAAATTTTAATAATGCGCAAGCGGAATTGGCGCTCTTAAAACTATATAATCCGTTGAAATACTGGCGAGGAGGATAAAAAGGGATCGTTGTTTTATAACCGTGTGATAAATTTTATCATCACCGAGGGCGATTACCTCCATCGAGAAGGTTAGGTCCTAAAAGTTTCAAGTCGCTATAACTTCCGAAATATTAGAGGAATTTACGGTTGTCCTTTGTCGACGCACTTTACCGCCGCCGAATTTACAACGTGATTAAGATCAAGTAGGCGACCGCTCCTGACGACGCTCGACTTGTCAGCGAAGCGTGAGCTTTCTATTACGCGTACAACTGCCAGAACTGTCATTTACAATCGTAATAACAACACCACAGACAGTGACGTAACCAAACAATGGCTCATCAAATGTGAGCCCTTGACATCTCGATGTTAATGACAAAAATCATTTTTAACAGAATATTTTGTTGTTCCTTTTCTAATTGCTCGCCGGAAGCGATCTAAGGAAATTGTAAAAGTTTCTGTAACAACTTCTGTACAACTTTATACATTCCGGGTAACATAAAATTCAACCGACTAAGTGAATATTCGGGGTAAGATAATTATTGTTGGTCTGTTTGGAAAAGACGTTCCCAATCTCGCATCGTACACACGAGTTGATGGAATGTTTATGCAGCAAACAGTACTCGAGGGAAGGGCGCGTTTTTTATTAAGGGAAAGTTTTTTTAAAGCTTTTTAATTAATGAAACTTCCAACTCAATTATCGCCATGCATAATTCATCGATGAAAAAAAATTTGTTACAGAGATCCACTGCCTGAAGGATGTGGACTTGAACATCGAACCCAAGGTAGTGGAAAAGGGAGGCGAGAGCATCCTGACTTGCAAGTACGACCTGGAGGACGCGCCCCTGTACACCGTGAAGTGGTACAGGGGGCACCACGAGTTCTATCGCTACACGCCTAAGGAGCACCCCAGTACGAAGATATTCGCCTTTGAGGGGATACACGTAGATGTGAGTAGTATTTAATTTGTCCGAAAGTAGTTTTTTATGGTGCGGCGGCCATCGCGACGACCGGGTCTAATCCCCCTGGAATTTTTACAGATTAGCCTTTTAGAAGTTAATTACTAAGTGTCTAGTTAGTTTCAAGATTATATTGTAGGGGATAAAACGAACAAAAACTGAAAATATATACTATAGGGAACATGTAATCCAGAAAAAATTTGCTTGCCCTCTCTCACATCCACCTCACAACAGATCAGCCCTGGTCTATAAGTAAAGACAAAGAAAGTAACTTAAATTTTTCCCTTATTAACATTATAAGCTTTCAAAATAATAAATAAGATCCACTTCTTATTTGTGGAAGGGCGAAATGGGCGGTGACTATTAGACGCTTTCATTATAGCCATCTTTCTCTATCGCACGGATTTCTATGACTTTCTTTATCGCTCTCACGTAACGGCCGATGAACCATGGGGACTTTCCGACCCTGTATATTCCAAACAATACATAATCATTCTACGGAAAAGTACATCAGTTTTATATTTTAAATTGCTCTGATTACTCGAGAGCGATCCAGATTAAAAATGAAAATGTTCCCGAAACGCAATATCGAAGAACGATGGGATGGAACGAATTTCGTAGCTCATCATTTGGAAAAGACAAAGCTCCCGCTGTTTGCCTGTAAATAAATGTCTGTATCGCACCCTAGCTGTTTATAACACCATTCTAAAACGTGAGGATTTAGGGGGGACTTTATCCTAACAAAGTTGTTAGCTGGAAGCGTATGGTGCTTATTAGAAAAGCACGGCAATCATTCACAGATAAAGCCTAGCTGAAATTGGCCTGTATAGGACGCGTCTTCTTGTTTTAGGTCGGGAGAATACCAAGTGTTATGATATTCTGATAAATAAACTCGAGATGAAACCAAAATTTTGAATTTTGAGATAATCACATAAAGTAAATAGAGAGAACTGACACAACAGAGATGTGGAATACTGAGAATATGAAAATGAAGGATACAATATAGATATAGAATAAGTTTATAGCATAATAAGACAAAATCGTTAAAAGAAAATTATAGAATTGTTAAAAGTAATTTGCAGTGCAGTGAAAAGATGCAACAGCAGTTTACGTTCGAGCAATTTCTACCAAGTGGAAGGCGAGAGCTTGTGTGAATTACAACAACGGAATGCGTTATGAAACCAGTATTACTTTACATCTTCAAAATTCAAAGAAGTCGACTTCAAAATTATATATAAATTTTTGTTGGCGCCCAATAAGTAAAATTTAACAAAAACAAAATTCCAAATAAAAACAACACACGCAACAAAAATATAACACAAGGAACGGTTTTTTTACCGCGAATCGCAGGTTTTGTCTCGGTTTTTGCATGTCAAAGATAATGTTTACAAACAAAATTTATAGTTTGCAACATACCACTGTTCTTTTTACCACGGATTATGAATATCTATAATTTGCGAAAACTTCTGTTCCTTTTCGAAGCAAGGGGGCGAAATACAACGCGCAGGGGCATTACCAGCTGCGTTAAATTAACAAACTTCAAATCCGGAAACGTGGGGCGCTTATTAGCGAGGCCGCTGCAATCATTTACAGATAATACCCGCCGTAGCCGGCCGATGTTAACATGAATCAAATTTTAGTTAAAGCAATCCAACGAGCACCAGGTGGTCCTGAGGGAAGTCGGTTTCAATCTCTCGGGCCAGTTCAGCTGCGAGGTGACCACAGATAGCCCGCTCTTCACCACCGCCACGGTCTACAAGAATATGTTGGTAGTTGGTAAGTGTCGGTTTTGTCCGTCCTAATTTCGGCCTCGGTTTCGGGAAGGGTCTTTTTGCAGTAATTGGAATTGTTAGACTTCGGTTATAACATTTGTTCCGACGTGGGGGTTGGAGAACCGACCCCGTCGATAAAAAAGGTCGCTACGTGCTTTAAACGTCAGCTCAATGCAAACCTGGCAGATTATTTCAAGTTAAAAAAAAATATTTAAACTTAAATTATATAATTTTCATCGTGTGCCCAAGAAAATTAGAGCCAGTTGTTGATTTTTACAAATAGAACAACTAGGAGGCTGCGTTTCTAAATAAATTATTGGCAACGCCAGAGCCATCTATTGTTTTCCATGAGCTAATGATGTGTTTTATGTCAGGATATTTCTAACAGATGGCTCTTTAGTTGTAGCTTAATTGCAGTGGCCTTTTTTTAACCGTTAAGTGGTGACATGACACATCAGATCTGACATTTAACAATACTTTCTGGCAAATTAGATATAAAAAAAGTATTAAGAATTATTACAAGTTTTAAATATTTAGTATTCAATGGGTATTTGTGACTATTGTTTAAAGTGTTTAGTTTGTGAATTTCACTGTTAATGACCTTTGACATTGATCTAGTTTAAGTGAACTACATTTTTTATAAAACCACAGTACTTAGTTTAATTAGGCGATTTTAAAAATAATAATCTATACTACACCGGTGTTTCATTTACCTGAGATATTAGTTAATCTCACTAAATTCAATAATCAGTTTTCGAAATACTTGAGATTATCTGAGATTTTATATACATAAGATACACCTTACCACCGTAATTGATTTAGGATTAAATATTTACCCACAATAACCAGACGCAAACTTTTTTAAAACATACATTGGTGGATTGGTCAAATTACTATATTTGGAAACGCTTAATAATAAAAAAAATAGTATTTTTTTTATTTACAGGAAATCTGTGTTAATCCGTATCGACAAAATCAATTTGTTTTGATCCTGTTGCGAACTGGCATTAATGTCTTGTAAAAAAAAATGGAATATGGAAAAGGGTCGAAAGCTAGAATTAATACGTGTGGACATTTAAACCCCCCCGTAATCTGTATTTTCATACGCGTGATCGATATTTTAATAATGGGGTGCTTAAAAAACGTTTTCTCAATTTTTTTGACATTTACCTGAAATTATTAAATCCGTATTTTCCCTTTCGTCCGCCGACGGACCATTGAACAGCCCGAATCGATAGAATTGCGGGTAAATCCTTAAATCTGTACATTGAACGCGTTGAATAACAATTTTTTACGTACCGAGAATTTACATTTAAATTGCTAGCCTTCGGATGCTGCCGGGAGTAAAAAGGTAGGCGAAAAAGTTACTTTGAAAAAGTCTTCGCGATATCAACCATGCTTTGATGAATTTACTGGACACTTAAAAAAAACTAACAATTCCAACTTACTTAAAAAAGTGTATTACGAAACTACCTCTACTGTCAAACATTACAGTTGCTACCTAACTTTTTTTTTTCTTGTAGTGTTACCAAGCAGTTCCGCCAGGCTCATAACCGACAGGAACAACTACGACATCGGAGACATCCTGAGAGCAAACTGCACTTCTCCGCCCTCTAGGCCACCTGCGACCCTCACCTTCATTTTGAATAATATTGTGGTGAGTGAAGTGGTATCCTCTCGACTTTGTTTCAGGGGTAGTGCAGAATGGCAATTTTAATACCACGGGCTGTTATTAGATAGATAGGGCGTTATTAGATTTAGTAGGTGCACTTCAGCGGGATGGGTTTTTAGCATAATTTAACGACGACCCGTCGTCCTCGAGTTGGTATAGTAATTTCATTTTTAGTAGGTCAAATAATTACCTACTTTGCACATAAAGTGCTTGGAAACAGTTCAACAAGCTTTGACTCTTGGCATTAGCAGTATAGCCTAAAAATATCCGCATTGCGATGCATCTGCCGCATTTGTTGACGTTCGCCGTAAACATATTGTCTGTTAACATTTTGTCCTGTCCCTTATAATTTTGTTATTTGTAAGTTTGTTTGCTTTTTCTCCTTTTACATCTTTTACATTTAATTCCTTTCTCTTTTTCACTTTCCATTAACGATTAAAAAAATGTAGTCACTAGTGATTGAAATTTAATGCAAGTCACGAAAAACCAGCCTGTAAACACCAACAGAACTGTACCCGTTGGACAAAAATATTTATTATAAAATCAGTTTACGCAAATACTCCCTGGATAAAGACCCAAGCTGCCTCTAACTTGAATTTACAACAGGCATATCCATAGCAACACTATCCCGCACCAATTTACAAGGGTCGTGGGTGTACGGCAAACTACCCCACGATATTATCGCGTAACCCATCGACATTCCGACCCTTACATATCTTACATAACAGAGAGGTAACTTACTCGAACTCACCAAAGCGAAGTCACAAGGCCGTAATGGTTCGACGTACGACTTTGAATACGGGCGCAATTTTATGTTGAGACATTCCGCACATGCCGGGAGCTCACGGGAAGCGGGAATAAGAGGTAAAACTGGTTAGTTTCCCGCGAGACGACGTGTCGTCGCTGTTGTTGCACAAGAAGAACTTGCGTTACTTGTTTTTCGAGCGTCAGTTTCGTTGCTGCCCTGCTGCCACGCCTGACTTGAGTTCGATGGACTTGGTCGCTGATGACGAGCATTGTCGTAAAATATCTTCCTCGCACTTACACACCTTGCCATTTTTCTTGTCCACAAACTTCATATGTTGGGCGCCTATGTTGGGCGCCTCGCAGTTTTTGAACGTTGTGTCTTGTTTTGAATTTTAAAATAATATAACGTAAATTGACCTAGTTACTGCATTTGATCAGTTGATTAAGTACGGCGATGTAAGGTCGGACCATGTTTCGCGTAATAACTTTTGATCGATTTTCCGGAACACGGAAAAAATATTTTCAAAAACATCCTGCCTAGCAGATTATTTATTAAAAAAATATCTCCTTAGTGGAGATTAGGAAACAGCGTACCGTTTTATAGCTGAGATTACTCGACGTTTATATTTTGAAGTAAATTCTGCGTTAAACAAGAAATAAAGGCAGTCGGTTCCCGTGAAGTATGTTTCTTTCTCATATTCGGTGCTTCGCGAATACGTACGTAGGTGCAGAGATTTAATAGTGCTTAAACGATCCAGGGCCTGCTTTATACACGGAACAAAACATATAGCTTGCTAGATCCGGAATATACGCTTTCGTTTCGCCTGTAAAACTACCTCATATACTCCCTTTATTCGGACAGGAATTGCACCGAGCACGGAAAATATCGCCTTCCGTTTTATCATCATGATCATAGCGGCAGTTGCATATTTAAAAGATAAATGAACAATTGTTAGACGGTGAATTGCCTGAAATACAGGTAAAAGTTAATGAAATGAATGACATCAACAGTAATCAGTGTGACCTCATCCTGTTGTTTTTATTGTTTCCCAAACTGTGCTCCTGTTACATATTGTAAAGCAGCAGCAGTGGAAGTATTTAGATGATTAGAAAGTGATTGTTAGTGTGTTTTCTGGTTGGTGAATAATTTTTTGTGCAATATTTGTTTACATTAAATTTACCATAAATTCTTATAATATTTTGTCAGAAAGCCAGGCAAAAGAGCTGCAAATAATGTAAAAATTTTCAGATAAAATAATTAAGTTATTAGAGAGCTACCTTCTAAATAGAATGTAATTTGCTTAAACTGATCCTGGACAATTAGTTGAGAAGTATATATGATACTGTGAGGCATACCACAGGGATCAACCCTTGGCCTCCTTCTATTTAATATCTATATTGTAATTTGATCAGCTGTACATCTATACCGATGACACAACATTATACTAGGCATTCTCATATACATATACAGCATGTTTCTAAACAAACGATACAGATCATTTCAAATAAAGCACGCGCTTTCTGTTAAATCAAACCAACTCTTTCTGTGTCGGCGAAAATACGGTACATTCTCATCGGCTGTAGAAGTTGATAGAAGTTGCCCCCCTGAAATATAATAAAATCTAAAGGACCGGCAGGCCTCGTGCGACTCCTTCGCGAACCTTTCACGGCCTACTACGGCACAATGGTTGCTCAGTCCCAGAAATACAAGTACAATATATTTCAAGGGACGACGCGGCCTCCTGATATAATATATTGTTCAGCCAACAAAAGGGGGACGCAATAAGAAGAGAATAAAGACATATTTTCATAAAATTACTTTGCGAAATGGCTGGTAAATGTTGACAATTTGTTTTATCGCGGAGTGCGGGCCCTGTTTCTAAAAGACTTTCATGTTGTCGGTGCGAATAAGTGTCAAGTGTGTGGAATAATTGCAGCCGTCTACAGACTTGCCTGTTCGCGACCGCAATTGCCTTTTGGAAGGATGGATGTGTTTTCTATGTCATATATACCGCGAATAACCTCTTAAATGACAGATAAAATAAAAATATCACAAACATGTTCGCTTGGAAATAACTTAGGATAATATCTCACAGGTACATGTTTATACAGTGTACTGTAATGTATTTCCTCTTCGTGATGATACGACAAAGAACAGCTGGGTCTCATTCAACTTTGCGCATGTTTTGAACAAATTTCACATTACATACGCATTGTTACTACGAAATCAGAAGAGGTTTCAGAATGAATCCCTGTGTAACTCCCGAAGTTCTGTGCGTGTTTGTGTAGAAACTCCGAGTGCAAGTTCCTCTGCTGGTCTTGCAATTTCTACGTTTCCATTTTCATTTATCATTAGTGGGAGTGTGTTATCCGAAAAACGCGACGACTTAGCTGGCGTTAACACGCCACTAGATGGAATTAACAAACACGAAATTCGACGTTCTAATAAAGCCGTAAATTTAATTTCGATCATGCCAGCAAGATAAATTCTGTTATAAAGTAGAATTACGAAGGAAAGTAAAATATATGACGATAATCTCATTCCCAAACTTTCGGGGCACTTTATTCAATTTCTGGCTAATGCCTACGAGGGCGTAAAAACAGTTGTTAGGTATTTTCAAGTTGAGAAAGCCGGTTCGAGGCGTACTCTAGTGACCGCCGTAGGAGGTCGAGCATTAGGAGGATTTGCCGATTGTCTTTTGTTGCGGACTTCCAGTATCACCCCTTGGTTTTGTTCGGAATTCTCGGGCATATTTGAGAAGACCAAAGTGAGTTGTAACTCATGCAAAGTGACCTAAAATAATACATTGCAGTGAATTATTATGCGATAGTTGTTCCAAGTCTATGCAATTTTTTATAAATCCGTTGATACGATTAGAGAATACTTCAGTTAGTTTTATTTTGATAATTAGATATTGCCTTAAATGATTTTGTTTATAAAGTATAAAATCCAAAATAAAAAGTTGATGATGATTATGAGGATAATCGTGAGGCTAATGAGGATAAGATAATGATGGTGATGATGATGATGATGACGAGGATGATGACGATGATGAAGACGATGAGGAAGACGAAAATTACTTTTCCACTGCGACCAACCATAGTCTATTGTAGATTTCCATGTCATACTTACACGTACATGGGCTACAGTCTCGTTTTCCTCCTGACAATCTAAATTGACTGTCATCTACCAACCCAATATTAGTTAAATGTCTCCTGAATTTATAATATCATTTTATTGTCCTTCAACAACTAATTTAGTGATCATTCTAAGCTCGAATGAAGATATTTATTGTGATAGCTTCTTATTATAACAATTTTTTTGGCAGAAAGCAATCTGCTATTTACTATTCGGTATACAACTCCCAATCGATCGTCCTTCTACACCTAAAACCCCCCTGAAATATGCAGGGGCTTCCCCTGAATAATTTCCAGCGCGCGACGTTCGATAATAAACCAGACCACCATAATTCTCAAATATTAAACTATCAATTTCACTTGTTGCCGCGGCTTCATCCAACTTTAAGCACGGCAGGGAGGATACTGAAATTGCCGCTCATTTGGCAGTCCCCATTTTTCCTCAGGTGAGTGAAAAATGTGTCGCCGAGATGCGTCTCGAGAGAGTCGCTTCTCGAGTAAGTCGAGACGACCCTGGGAGGTAATAATTTCGATGGAAACGGAAGATTGTTCGTTTTAAATTCAGAAAGGGGGGTATTAGTTCCCGACCGGGATGGAATATCGCGAAAGACGAGAGACGTCATTTAAATAGCGGTATTTTTGACATGAGACTAAAAACGGGGTGTCTAGATATCAATCCAGGATGGTTCTGAGTATAACAGTTGTTTTTTAATAATATCTACCTTGCGTTATTAGTTATCCCACTTCTGATTCCTGTGTATTATGCTTAACATATGTGTATTCTTCAGGTTTGCGAGAAGTGCGTCACCAGAAAACATGCCGCAGGTGAACTATCCTGGAGCGAATCCTCTTTGGAATTGCCCTTGTTCCCCTCTCACTTCAACAACGGCAGGCTGACCCTCAAGTGCGTCGCCAAGATCGGAGAATTCTATGAACAGGACTCGGAGATAACATTCGACAACGCCAAAGACCCGATACCAGCTCGAGGTAAGCTCAATTTCAACGTCATATGACTGTATACATCAAAATAAACCAAAAACATTTATGTCATAACTATTTTGGAGAAAAAAGTTATGACAAAGTTTCACTTAATTACACCTCATCACCAATTTAAAAAAAATTGAAATTTAACTGTGGAAAGCGACGATTTCCCACGATGATCAGAAGTGGGATATGTCACCAAAGCACTTGACGTAGAACCGGCTAACCGACAACCGACGGGCCAGCCTTTCTTGCACCGCTCTTGGCTTCAACCCTTCTTAATGGGGCGGACGGGGTGTTTTTTCCCTCTGGCTCTTATTAATCTTCCGGCTTTTGTGCTGTTCGGCACGAGAGCCGATTAATTACCGAGCTATAATTTTTATCCGCTGCGAAACGGGTCCCAGAAATTGCTAAATAAATAAACACCGGACGAACAAATGGATCCGGATACTTTTTTAATTACTTGATATTTCTCCGCGCTTATCTGGTCGCAAATCGGGCCGGCACGAGATGGATAATATTCGAAATATAACAAAAGAAATAGTTTATCTGAGAAACAAAACTACTCAAAATAAAAGAATCAAAATAAACATGTATTTACAATTAAATTTCTTCACATAAATTCTGGCGCCGAACGTGGGGCTAGACAAAATACAGATCATAATCAAAATAGAAACAAAATTCTATACTTTATAAGAAATAATTTTTTCCTTACATATTACACAAGATATGTCAGCACCCTGAAACGAATTTTTCTTGATATAAAACCACTATTAAATACCATTTTCCACGGAATAGACTTTTATTGAAAAATCACTGCGGCAATAAAGCGCAATAAAGTATGAAAATATTAAATTCTATCCATTTGGAGAGACTTTAAAACATAACAGCCGTCATAACGACATCATAATATCTGCATAGATATTACCCCGGCGTAATCAATACCGATATTTATCCCGATTCTCGTTTTATTGGGGCCTTAAGTAGACGTCTTTTATGAGCCAGCGAAGGATTTTGATAAATGTCGGGCGTTACACGGTTTATATTACGTCTGTTATGCCAATGTCGGTAATATTCACATAAATCTTATCATTAGCTTCATAAATTACCTCACCGAAGTTCCCTTTGCACTTTCTTAGTCTTTTACGCGTACTTTCCTTGCTGGGAAAGTTACGTTAGAAAATTTTCGAAACATCGGTAAATTTTGAACTAAAATAAAGTAACAGTTCTAAAGATAAAGAATCGGATGCTAGGGTGGAATTTCCGACCATATCAGCATTTTTGTTGTTTCCTCGTGAAGGATAATCAGAAGGTCGCAGGATAGGATTAGTCGATGGAGGTCCTGTATCAGGAATACATAACAATTTATTTGCAAATTCTGTGCCTCCACTGAGACATCGGGGCGAAGAGATGAAAAAGAACCGGAAAATAAATGAAATTTCGTTAAAAAAAAGGAGGATGTACATGGTGATCTAAAGAAACTATTCGAAAGTTTGGTAAAATTTTCAATAGTGACAAACATATAAATGTAACAGACAAATTTGAATTTCCCTTTTAAACTCAGTAAGATAAGGAAGTACTGTAGTTACAATATAATTGATATTTACATCTTTTTTCATTAGTACATCTTTCGAGAAGTAGCAAACGAAGTTGGAGTTGCATCCTGACGTGTTACAATCTACACTAGTATCATTTGTAACAATCTGAGTAATTTTTGTTACAATCGACACTGGTTTTCCTTACACCTTCTAGGTCTTGTTTAATGATATATATATTAAAAATTGAAATAATAAGTATTTATTCACTACAAATTTAAATATGTTGTCAACTCGTCATTATAAGACAAGTAGTAACTTTGTTACAATATAATTCAAAATGTAACTACAACGTTTGTCATATGATTTCGATGTCATAACTATTAAAGTATTAGGCTACTGAATGTGTGTAAAATATGTATGATGTACTGGTTACTTCGATTTTGCTTGTTTTTTTCAACTTTGTTAAATAGAAGAAGATGATATCCAATGGTTTCGATTGTAATAAGCGCATTGGTGTAGATTGTAACAAGTTAGAGTTAGCATCTACATTTAAATTATTGGCAAAGATACATCCTATTGATTATTCATATTGTTGACAACTGAAATTATTAAACCTCTGTTCAGGTGAAAAGGATTGGATATATCATGTGACGTTACACCGGTTTAAAAAAAAACAATTGAAAACTGATATAACACCTAAAAATTAGTTGCAGTGTTTGAGAAACTATTTTATTTGAACTAACTGTGGAATTTATTTGAAAATTCTCTTCGCACTTTAGGTTCCAAAATGGCCGGTATAATTTTTGTTACAATCGACAATTTCTCGGCTTTGTTAAACGATATTTTTGTTTACTGAATTCAATGTAAACATAGTACAAACACGAGTACAGTGCACAGTGTACACATCTTCATTAAAAAACAACTTTTCAATAAAAAATATTTTCACGGGCCGTTTTCGCGGACCACCCTGTACAAGAAGCGAGAATTCCCACCTCGCCCGGGAGACCGGAGTAATTCGCTAGCGTCAGGTTAACTGTATTTTATTCTCAATCTCTAAAACAATGGAACGCGGCCCGCCCTAGCGCGGACAAACCGGCGTTGCCCGAATTTTGATAAGAATATTGTGTATTATGTAATTCTTCCAAGTCCGGGACAATGTACTTTTGTGTACAGCGGTTCGGAAAGAAAATGAATATTTAGATGTCTGGGGGCCAAATTTATCATCCAGATAAAACAGTTGTCAGCCGTTCGCCCTACCGACTCAGGGGGGCTTGTAGTGAATAAATAATTGCATTAGTTCGGCTCGTTCGAACAATACGGTACATTCGGGGGGCGAGGGGGAAAGCGAGCGCTGCCTGCGGCGCGCTTTGTAACGCGCGCTATCAACTAGTTCCAACAAATAGGCCGATTTTTATCGCCGCTTACCTTTGATATCCGATGAACGATACGCGCGCGCGTTCTAACACCCGATGAACGGTACTTGAACAGCGGTTCCCAAAATGTTTTAGTTACGTATCGGTCAGTCAGGCTTAAGAAAGTAGGCATTATATCAGGGTCATTGACCTTTGGCCTTTTTTTCCCTTCATGTGACTTCTGACATCAACGATGAATCATGTGTACCGCCTTCCGCACCCTACCCTCGCTCCGTACAGCAGTTCCCAAACTGTTTCAGTCACACGCGAGCACTTGAAACTACCAACCCGTTTAGGATCACCCGGTACGTATTCCGAATTTTCTCCCCGTAAGTTATGACTTTCTTCCCCGGGAACGAGCCGAGAATTGAAACCGGCAGTCACAAAGAGCCCCTCATCTTTAAAAGAAGGCACGTCCGGATATGAAGCGGAACCCGGAATTCCCGACGCCAGGTAATACACATATCCCAGATTGCTCCCCTCCCGGGGGGCACACTTGTTATTTCGCGCCGGGCGCAATCAATTTCTCGATCGATTTTATTTAATTAGAAAGCGGGCCCGACGCAAATTTAACACAACGGGTGATATATTGCTTTCTTATCTGCCGTCTACCGTCAAACGCAGGTCGGGATTCGAGCGGCGGGAGGGTACATTAATTCAAGCACCTATTCTCTCTCCAGAAAACGTTTCGAATGATGATCGAGCCATTGTCTTTCCCGCGCTTCGTAAGTAACCTGTTCCCGTCAGTACACACTTCAGTAATTTATTTACTTTCCTTTCCGAGCGTTTTACGCCACGGCGCTCTGCGGACGCGTCCATAGGCGCTACAGAGCGTTTAAAATGAAATGAAAATAGTACACTAGCAACCCATTACCACCTAGAACGCAAAGCCTCAACGTTCGGCATGTGACGTCACTTCAATGGTGTTATGTCATCCTCTACAGCACTAAAACGAGCTCTACCGCCCAAATTAAAAAGTTTTCTTCACCTGACCTTGATCCTAATTAGGCAACCACCATAACATAAAATAGTAACGTTTGTGGTATATAGAAAGATATTGAAATAAAGATCATGCAGGTTATGCGAATGATTTTAAGGTATACTATTGGGTAACACACGTAACAATATTTAAACTCGCATTTTTCGATATAATTGATTGTTATTGCCGAAATAGTTTAATTAAATCAACAATAAAACGCGCTGGCTTATACTGACGATAGTGACGCCACTAAATGATGACGTAACTGTTATGAGGCTTTACCTTATAGGTGGTAATAATGTACCAACTGCTTTCTGGACTGTGAAACGACACGGACGCTATTGAATTTGCTTGCAACAGACCAACATCAATTTATTTTATTGAATCCGGACTGTCTGTGAACGTAACCTCAAAAAAACAACTGGTAAACTGAGCCCTACAAACAAATCAAGAGGTAGCGGACAGAAAACAATGACGCAGAGTTGTCAGATCATATGTTTACTGTCAAGAGGTCACACTACCGAGCAGGAAACTTTAAATTGGTTTTTTCCGGAGGGTATTCGATAGTTCTTTGTAGTTTTTTCTAGGAAAGTTCGCAACTGCTATAAATCTTGCAAAGTTTTAATAAAGTCTGTTTAATTTTAGCGGGGCTTCCGTGGCAAATTCTCGCCTTTCCAATAGATAAAATTCTAAAGTTTCACCTGCAAAAGTAAGCGCAAGAAGTCTTGTAATTATTTTTTTTAATTAAATGCAATGCAAGGCGCTCTTCGATTACTTCTTTAATTAACTAAATAAGAAACGATGCTTTTAGTTTGTGTTTATTTTTCGTTGAAAACTACAAGGAGATCAAGTAACTTGACTTGCCCAGTATATACTTCATTGTAAATCCTAAACATTTATTATATTCATTGACGCATCAATTTCAAACACCTGCAGGATGTTGCTCACGAATTGTGTTTGTGGCATTGTTGATGACATACACTAGTTCTTGCTCGTGTAACTTTTTTAATTGACGACATCGTCAAAATAAATTATGGACCACCCAAACACCGCGCGTTATTAATTTGTTAGATCTCAGACTTTCAGCTACTTTCAGCGCTGAAAACGCAGCACGTGTGTCCTGAAAGAGCTCGAGGGTTACGTGACTGATTCCGGCGAACCGCTTAGAATTTTTAATGCGAATTCTCTTATGCGTCCCGTGTTTGCGTTCTCCCCATTAATTTCATTTTCTTTGCAGTGACCCAGAGCTCGGCGCAGCGGCGGCGCGGCGGGGAGTTCCTCGCAGGGATCCTCGCCTGGTGTATCCTGTTGCTGTAAGATGGAGTGGGGATTCGTTCGGGGTGGGGTGTTTTGTTCGTTATTTTTATACACTTGGACAACTAAATGAATGTGATGAAAAATTGCTGCAATTAGTGATTTAGATATAAATGACATATTTTGTATGGTTTAATAAATTATCATTGTTTTGTACGTCGATCGTTCTGAATAAAGGTTTTGTTTTAGAGTGGGTTGTATCATTTACGCCTAGTGCCTATTGAAAGCCAAAAAGATGAACGAATAGATAGTTAGAGCCAAAAAAAAATACATAAAACAATTTACAGCTTTTTCTCCATCTATTTATTACATGTAAAAAATTATGAAACAAAAGTATTTTGAACAGACTTGAATAGATTGACATACAAACAAAAAAAAATAATTTTTATTGATAATAAAATTACCACTATTGTCAACTGTAGTGGTCTACTGAATTGTCTTAAAGTAATTAATCTTATAATTGCTTAATCGTTAATAAAATTTTCAAATAACAGCGGTCCTAAGTCTGTACCCTGAGGTACACTAATTAAATATTGAAGATTATTCATTAAAATCTCGTCATAAGTAAATACCGAAAATAATCATAATGTACCTCTTTCCTTACTTCAACAATTGGTCCAAAAGTCGAAGAGTTATGTGAAGGAGGGGATTGTTTATCATTATTCAGTACCCAGGAACAAAAGGTAAGTTCAAATTAAGAGATCGCCCAACAACTTCTATCAATGTTTTTACCCTCATCTTGATATACTAGAGTTGTGTTCACACGTTAGGAATAAAATGTAGTATAATCATCTACATCTAGTAAGTAGACGTTTGTGGTTTGTTTAAAAGTGCGATAACCATGTTTATTCCATTGTTTTTGTCCTAGTAACATATAAAAACGATTAGATTATAAAGTAACACTATCGCCCTTGGTTGATAACAAAGCTCAATGGTGATAAAATGATCCTTAAATACCAAAACAAGTTGGTAAAGTGCTCTTTTACGCTCAATCGCTTATTAACAAAAACTGTAACTTACAGCTGGATACTTTACGTCTACGAGTGGGAACAGAAAAATTATCAATTGGATGAAAATGTTGCTCTAACACCTTACAGAAGTAACATATAAAACCAGTGATAAAGTGCACATCAGCTGTGGTCGATAATAAACTATGTGGCGATAAAGTGGCACTTCACGAACCGAAAACATGTTTGTAAAGTGCAGTCGCTTATAAAATCATTTGCTGGTGATTTAACAAAAGATTGATAGTAGAAAACGGTATATTGCGGTTTGAAACTTCACAATAAGTCTTGTTTTATCCATTTTTGTTACTGACATTTTAAGCGATTGCACATCAGTATATAGAAATTCGAATACTAAGTTGCTAAAACCCGACTGACTTTATCGCTAGCTAGTAGCAGATAACGACTGTTTTAAGGTAACACTATCACCTTTGGACGATAAGAGCTCAATGGCGATAAAGTGCACTTTTACGCCACGTCGTATATAAAAACCTCTGCTAATTAATTTTGTAAAGAAAGGAAGCTGAAAACAGGATGTTAAACTTTTGCTGAGATTTCTAAGGTAGAGATATAGAGGTCGTGGTCGATAAAAGAGTTCGGTGGCGATAAAGTGATACTTGTCGCACCGAAAACATATCCGTAAAGTGCACTATTACGCCCGATCGTGTATAATAATATTTGCAGACGCTTTTACAGATAACGACCGGTAAAAACAGTACATTGGAATCGGGAACCGTGCGCTACATCCTGTTATATCCATTTTTCAGTGATTCCTGCTGACGTTTTATAAGGTTGCACATCAATAAATGGAAATTCGGATATTGAGTTGTTAAAACCCCGACTGGCAGCGCTTCTCTCCGGGTGATAAATGGGTCGGGGAATTTGCATTCGACGCCTAGATGCGTTCATTATCGGGGCCTCGAAGAGGCCTACTACTTCATTATATCTGTACACCGGCAGATCATAAATTACCCTTCCTTTGTCTCTGGTTCGAAATAAATGGCCGCCTTCGGCCGTGGGGGAGAGGCCCGCGGGTATTTTTGGAAATCGAAAATATTAAATTATGCCAGCAACGAATATCGCAGTCTGCTCTGGAAACCCACTAAATGATCCGAAGTTTGCAAGTGAGGTAAGCTACTCCAACAGGGTCGCGGCAATTTCCCATGTAGAGTGTTTTAAAATATATATCTTAAATGCATAATAAAAAACAGTAACATTGAAGGGATACAACTACTCTCCGGACGACATGCACTGACCAGCATTGAATTATATAAGCAATACCTAGTAAATAGTTACGACTAGTTGGCAGTAGATCGTGGTGCGAAATTGCAGGTCACTCTCTGTCAGCAAGGCAGAGGTCGTCAGTTAAAAATTTATTCGCCTAGCATAATACAATTTTATGATAATATGCAACGCTCAATACAAAAGAACTAACAGGTTGTTTTAAAATGTCACTGGGAAATACAGTATTTGTACCCCGTCAAAGAATAATTCAGTCTACGTCATTGGAGGCGCCCGTGAAAAACAATCGCCCTGTTCGGAGCCGGAGCAAAGTTGATGCTTAATATAGCCCGAAAACTGATTTATGGATTTTCGGGCTGATAAATTAACCCGAAACAAAATAAAAAATGGTCCGACTAAATATCCGCTTCAAAAAACGTGACAACATTAAACACTTATGTGTCGCGCGGTTGTTACGAGGCTCGGTATGCGTAGGGGGGGACGAACAACTGACGGGGCGGAGGCAATTTGTCTTCGGGGAATCACTTTTTTCTCGTACATCATTTTTTTCCCGGCCGGGGATTCGCGTTCATGGATGTTTCCCGATTTACTTTAAATACCAAGGGCGGCGTGAAGCTACATTTTCGTAATCCGTTAGTCAATATTAGTTCAAATGTAATAGGGCGTTAAAGTACAATTTCTATGAATAAATTCTCAATACTTAAACTCGATTTTACCGCCCGCATGCTATAATATAACGCATAGGCGATAAAGTGACGTTAACTACATATTTTATTTGTCTCTAAATAGAGATAATGACTTGCTTCATTTAAGATATTAGTATAATAATTGTTTTAAAGTGAACTATTCTACTAGTCAGATTGGTATAAATAGCTATTATCGACGACCAAACGTTAAAGTGCAACTTTATCGCCCAGAGATGAACCACAGGTGATAAAATGACCTTATAACTGTATAATGTAACAGCTTTATACCTTTAGTGCATAAATAGCTATTATCGACTATTTATAGAAAAGTTAAAGGCATTAAAGTGCAACTTTATCGCCCCTAAGCGTTAAAGTGCAACTTTATCGCCTCTAAGCGTTAAAGTGCAACTTTATCGCCCTAGTCTATATTGTGAGCCTAAGGCGATAAAATGACTTTGTAATTGTCATATAACTGTCTAATGCAACTGTCAAATTGACGATTACTCTATTGGTCATAAATTACCTTACACCCAAGATACACAAGCATACATTATCGAAGATCAGGTGTTAAAGTGTAATTATAGACAAGTTAACGTCATTGAAGTACATTATCGCCCTCGTGTTATGTTATGAACCAGAGGCGATAAAGTATTCATTTGTAACTAAGTAGCCGTGACGAGTCGTTTATTTAAAATATTAAAGCAACATTTCGTGTACTCTGATAACTATAAGCGTCTGCTATTATCGACGATTAAACAAGTGTAATTTTTGAACAAGCTATAGGCGTTAAAGTGCAACTTTATCGCCCGCATATTGTAAATCTCCATTTGATCCGATTATTAATAAATTACCTTGTGACAGTGCCTGCCATAGTTGAAAACCCAAATTGACATTTTTATATTCGTGTAAATCCATATAGACAGCAATCACCAGCCCCTCAGGCACGTCCCGGCGTCTGTTGATAGTCGCTGTCGTCATCTCGCGGCCCATCAACTTCGCACTTTTAAATTTAAAATTGAATTGTGACAAGAATGCAGCTGTTTGTTACGAAGTTCACTGGGATATTAGATTATTTGACACAACAAGGATGTGTCGCAAATTCCTCGCCGCCTCCACTTGACTGGAGAAATATTAGAAGTACCAGGGGAGGCCTCGATATCAGATTTTCCCGGATATTAAACGAGGAGATCTATTATGAGACTTCTAAATATTTATAGGTGGGGAAACTGCTCATATTCAACAGCAAAACGTATCAGGTTAGAAAATATTTTGGCTTAGTCGCTGTTGGATCTGATACGGTGAAGGCCCTTGTAATAGTTCATGTAAAATCAAAGATAGATGACCTCCAAGCAATGCTAGAGTTCGAGTTGTAATAAATTTTATGGGAACTTCATAGCAGGGCCTGTTATATCTTTATAGTTTATAGAACTATTTTCATAAAACTGATTTATAAGGGTCGTAATCCTAACAAGGATTTCTCATCAGGCCGATGAAGTAAATAATAAAACCGGAACTCAATAAAATACATTTCTGAAATTTAATTGGGGAATAAATTCTACCCTGGAAAATGAGAAAATTGATGGGGCATGGATCGGATATCTTAACCTTGGGAAAAACATAATTCGGGATATAACACTAAATCAAGGTCAATGAGTGGCAGCACTGAGTCTACTAGTTTATTCGCCACAAAGCATCATTTTCAGCGCTTGTAGCTTGTATAATTTTCACCATTCAAACGGGCATCACCTAGAGATAAACGAACTACAATCAAATTCTTATTCGAACTTAATTGGAATTTGTTTGGAATTTTTTGCCAATTTTTTGTTGCTATAAGATGAACCTTCAGTCATAATCAGAAATATAAATATTTCGATATAAGAGAACATAATGTTATGATTTGCTCGTATTATAAAATAAACCATAATCCGCAGGTAGCAGAAGAATGCATCATAGAACCAGAATTCGACTATGAAACCAGCGTTACGACTAACAGAATTGCGAGTTGTCTAACTATAAACTTGGCCAAATTAAACACATAAATTTCAAAACAATCGCATATGCATACAACGTAGAATCAAAATTCATGTCTAAAAGTATAAAAGGTAGACATAGAATTTTCAAATTATAACATTGCAAATATTGATAAAAGGGGGAATTTAGTATAATAATAACTTAAGTGAAATCAGACAAGATAGAAATAAAGGAAACCACACCCTGTAGTTGAGTCAGTTCTATACAAAATAAATAATTAATAACAC